ACTTATACATTTTAAGAGCTACAATATCCGCCCCTGTAAACATTTAAAGTATTAGAAAGTTAGATATCAACGCTCTATTGTTGCGTAAATGGCAGTGGGTTAATATAATTATGGGGGAGGATTGTGTTCACCCCACTTAGCTAAATCTTAGTGAAACGCCCCTGCATGGTGTTATGTAGTAGAAACAACGAGGTTATAGTATATAGAGTGATGATGTACGCTATTCCTTTACTAATTGTACAGGCCATGTACTCCACTTCAGGTCAATCTGTACAAGGAGAATTGAATACAAGGAAGGGGCAATAGGGTTTCTGTACACTTTGCTGTAACGTATTTGGGCTGCTTGAGAACTAGTTTTTGCGTAACAACAATAATAAAGGCAGCCGATCTAATGTAAACAAACATGAGTTAGTATACGGTGAATCTTCATCTAACCGCTAACGCAGAGATGCACCAATGTTTATCATTTTTGTTATTGTTTACAATCTTTATTATTGTTGTTACGCAAAAACTAGTTCTCCAGCAGCCCAAAAACGTCACAGCAAAGTGTACGGAAACCTTATTGTCCCCTCCTTGTATTCAATTCTCCTTGAATCTGTATATTACAGTCAATGAGGTTATAGTATATAGTGATGATGTACGCTAATAATCCTTTAATAATTGTACACTGGTACGAGGGAGGGAGTCCAGAGTTCCTCAAATAGTAATCACCGCCACCCAAATCTGTTTTGCGGCAAGCGCGCTCCTCAATTGGTAATCTCCACCAACTCAATTAGTAATCACCGTAAAAAATTTTTTTCTGTGATTTGAATTTAATGCACTTTTAACACAATTTTCGACATATATCGGGGTTTTATGGCATCTTTATTGACTTCAACCAAATTTTCAAATTATTTTCAGATTTGTTTGGTCAACAAAAACTGAAAATCAAGGCACAGTTCATTTTAGCCGAATCTTAGATCCAATTCGCCACTTTAATGACTGCATTTCATGATTGGCGTAAAGATACTATACGGTCGGGCTGCTTGTTTACTAAAAATTATCTCATTCCACGCAAAGTAATATCCATCTCCATTTAAAAGATATTTTCAAAAAACCTTTACGGTGATTAGATGTTTGTAATCGCCAACTTCAGTTCAACATCTACAACAAAACTAATTATATGCATAGAAAGTACTTAAAATTTACTAAAAAATTATCTCATAACAAGTTATGTAATATCCATCTCCATTTAAAAGATATTTTCAAAAAACCTTTACAGTGTTTAGATTTTTGTATTCGCCTACTCGAGTTCAACATCTACAACAAAACTAATTATATGCATAGAAAGAGCATAAAATTTTGAAAAATTAGTCTCATCCCACCCCCAGCTGAAAATGAAGTATTTAGTCCACTAATATTGGGTTAAAGTTTCTTCTCTATGTAAGGAGTTTAAAACAACATTCAGAGGAAAATGCCGCAAACATTCTTAAAGCGAAACTTGAAACTAAAAAACGTAATATATTTCTAGCACTTAGTTTTGCATATTTATTGATTTATTTTCGAAACTAAGGAGCAATAAAGAAAGCTTTAACAATATTGTACACCATAGGGCCATTAAAAGAGGTCAATATGGTCTTATTTCTAAGAAATAAACGATTTAATTTTATGCTTTTTTGGTCTGATTACTATTTGAGGTGGTGGAGATTACCAATTGAGGAGCGCGCTTGCCGCAAAACAGATTTGGGTGGCGGTGATTACTATTTGAGGAACTCTGGACTCTCTCCCTCCTGGTACAGACCATGTATTTCACTTCCAAATGCCAATCTGTATATTACAGTACTCGGGAGTGATTTCTGAAAATATTTAAATGGATAATTTGCTTTCTATTTAACTATTGAATTTCACTACTCCTTTATCGTGTGCAGGAATCCATTTTCACTTGAAGACGTACTATTACAGTCTTTTGCAGAGCAATATTTCAACAATAATAAATGGTTCTGAGAAAACTGAGTTAAATTCAAGATACAAAACCTCCCCATACACTTTTACTCCATATTTGATGTTTGTACTGTATGATTAGGCCATAATCTCGTAATATCCTTGATCAGTAAACTGTCCGAAGTATACAAGGTTATAATGCAAGGAAAGTAAATTGCAGTTGCGTATACTCTGCGTACATATTGAAACCAGTTCTCTCTGGGCGGAATTTGTAAACAAGAATAGATGCATCAGTTTTCGTTTAGTATCCGAGGAGGCTGAAAGCATTGCATTTTGAGAACTCACGTAATAGTTTCCCATGACCAGCATGCTTCATTGATTATTTATGTGAAGATAGAACCTATTTCAGGCTTTGACATCCGTCTTGTGTTTACATTACCGCCCAGAGACAGTACACTGCAGAACAAAAGATGCGCACACCTCTAAAATAACTTTCCTTGCATTATAACCTTTGACGTATACACACAGACAGGTAGCTAAGATCCAGCCCTCCTGAGTAGTAAGGTTATATTCATACGCATTCCCAGTAACAATTTGAGGTTTGTCGCATTGAATTGATGCGTTTCTTTGTTGACTAGTGAGTGGTGTGACGTGACCACTGAAACTGTTTTGTTGAGGCCCTATATATATAGTGAACCTAGTTAAGTTTATAGCTCGATAAATCTGGGCATTATCAGGAACCCAGGGGACTGATCTAAAATCAGCTCAGAAAAGAAAAGGTATCACGGATTCAACAGCAACGATCGTCATAGAGTATCACTTATCAGAATAGTATTAATTTTATAATACTCTTAAACGATTTTAATATTTTATGATAATCTTACAAGATTCTATGATAATCTAACAAGATTCTATGATAATCTAACAAGATTTTATGATAATCTACCAAGAGTTATGCTAATCTAACAAGATTTTATGATAATCTAACAAGATTTTATGATAATCTAACAAGATTTTATGATAATCTAACAAGATTTTATTATAATCTAACAAGCTTTTTTTAATAAATTGGCCTACACTCCCATACCCCTCAGAACAAACAAAGGAGTTGAGTTTTTGGCGCAAACTCTGATTTTCTAATCTCTTATCTCTGTAATACAATGTCGTAGACCTTAGATATTTCAAACTTTTAATACTTATACATTAAATAGTCTAAGTTTGAAATATCAAAGTTTTGCACCATAAGACTACAAAGATATTGGAATCAGAAGATTTTAGTTTGTGGCAAAAACTCAATTCCTTTCCTTTGCCCCCCCCCCTAATAAAGAGATACATGGCAATTGTGAAAAAGATTGGAATGAAAAACTTTGAAAATTTGTAGTATAACATTTTATCACTAATTAAAAAATGGATTACAAATTTTTTTACTTATATTATTTCGATATTTTGATAATAATGAAATGTCTTTTGAGAATGTTTATGACTTGAATAGATATATTCTGATACAGTACACTGATACTATTAATATATTATTTGCAGTATCAATGTCTCCAGTTGATATCCCTATCTCGACTTATCATGTTCAAGTCAAAACTTTTTATCTAGTTGTATTGTCTGTATTCAATGTTTTATCATTTCCAATAGATTAAACACGGTCAAGTTACTTGATTATTATCTAGGGTTAAAAACTAGAAATCTTAAGCATTTAAAGGGACAGACGTTGTCATTTCAAGTAACCTTTCATGATTCAAGTCAGGTCCGATTGACAATAAACCTTCGTCAAAAATACTGGAGATATTATCGTTTTTCCCACTGATAATTGATTCTGCAAATTATGATTTTTATAATGAAGTGACGTTTGGATTTATGCTGCAGCAGCAAAAAAATTGTCAGAATTTAACACTTTACAAGATAAAAAACGACGATATCTCCTTTTATTTTACTCAGCTATAGGTTTAAAGAATGCCAATGTGAGTCGGACATACCACTTGAAACTACGTTTATAGTCCCTTTAAACTTTAAGATGAATTTTATATTAGGGGTGCACTATTCCTATACCCCCCCCCCTTATTTTAAAGGCGGAATTGTTTATCGGCAACCAGTGTAAGGGGCGTTTACAGGGGGGGGGGGTCGGTGGAGTGTTTGAATAAGTGAGATTTTCCGTATAACAGAGATGGAACGGCTCCGTGAAAGGTTGAACAGTTCTAGAAAAAATCCTGTATACGCCCCTGAAAACTGACTCCTCCATTTTAGTAAACAAATAACTTGAGTTAAATATTATTAGAAAGCTTGCTGTGGTCTCATAGCATTTAATAAACAGTTATCTATGGTGAAGGGTCTAGACTATATAATATACATATACAGGTTTCCCACAGAGGATGCATCTTAAGGATTTTTAAAGAGTGGACAATAGCTTTAGTTTGAACATATATATATCAGTTCCCTAAAATTGCAAATTTTTGTTGCACATTTTACGGCTTCAAAACTTGTTTTTCTTACACAATATTGATTTTTGTGTCTGAATGTGCAATTATTGTATTTTTTTGTAACCATGATTAGTTGAAACTATTAAATTGTTTCTTTTTTCATATCGCTATTTTTAAGGAGTTTCAGGTCTTCATTAAGTTCTTATGCTCATTCGCATTCCCCTGTATTCTTTTTTCTTCGTAATTGTAAGACTTTTCTGTTTACATATAGAAAGATTTAAAGCAATTTAAATGTAAAATTTTTATTGTTAAATTTTTTGCTTTTAAGCGTCCTTAAACCTCCCCTGATTGACCTTGTGAGTTATCACAACCGATCGGTTCAGCCGTTTTGACATAAATTGGAAATCATATAGACAGACACTCAGGCAATCCACATGGACTGAGATTTTTCAATAAACTCTTATGTTCTAATTACAATATCTTTGCAACCCGATGTCGTAAACCTTTAATATTTTTAACTATAAATTCTGTTAGATAAATGGTCGAATTTTAAAATGTTTTATGGCTTTATTTTTTTAAGAAGTTGATGGTTGTAAGATTCTTAGTAATCGTTGCTTGAAAGATTTCAATCTTTGCAAAAAGTTCAAACTTCTATCAAATGTCTGGTTTTGTCAAATCAAACGTATTTTATTTAAAACTTGCAAAAACTCTGCGTTATACAAATTTTGTTTTAATGCATAATTAACAGTGTAAACAATTATCTACACATGTTATTATTTCACAAAAAAAAGATTTTAAGGAAACTTAAATTATTCTTAAATTATCGAATAAATAATACGCTTTAAGGACGACTGAACGGAATTGATACGGTCTGTATCCTTTATTTTAAGAGTTACTGGACTGATTCATAACAGTTATCTGTTAACTTTGATTTATACATTTTAAGAGTTACTGGACTTATTCATAACAGTTATCTGTTAAATTTGATTTATACATTTTAAGAGTTACTGAACTGATTTACAACAGTTATCTGTTAAATTTGATTTATACATTTTAAGAGTTACTGGACTGATTTACAACAGTTATCTGTTAACTTTGACTTATACATTTTAAGAGTTACTGAACTGATTCATAACAGTTATCTGTTAACTTTGATTTATACATTTTAAGAGTTACTGGACTGATTTACAACAGTTATCTGTTAACTTTGACTTATACACTTTGGTAATGACAAATCTGCGAAGTTAAGACACAGAAATTTCATAATATCCGTTTCGTATTTGTTTTAAATTTATCTTTTTATTGGTACTAATTTTTTAATTTTTAGATTTCTAAAATGTCTAGTATATCAAGTTCGGCTGTAGGTACCTGGGACTCAATACAGAATATACCAAAGGTATTTAGTTAAGCAAACATCTAAAAGAAAAGCCTGGGAAAGGTTATGTTATTAGAATATGAAGGATGGAGAAAAAATAATTATCTTAATTTCAAGAAAAAAATGTTCATCTAAAGAGATAAAGAAAGCCTAGCATTTCACTTTTTAACAGGAATTGTTAATTTAGCTAAATTTAGATTTTACTGATATTATCATGTAAAACATTGATATGGCTTTAACAAATGCAGTCAACTATAAATATTGATTTGAATTAATTTAAAGATTGACTTATTTAGTTTTAACTTTTGGTAAATTCTACTTTTTTCGTCTCAAACATTTTTGATGATTGACCAACTCTGTGAGTTCAAAAGGTGTTTAGTTTCTCAATTAAAAAGTTAGAGAACTCTGGTTGTCTTGATATTCTGAAAAAATAAGTTATTACCACAGAAAAGAGATCAGAACAAAAGAAAAATACGATTATCCCTTGGTTTGAATTATAGTCAACGAGGTTATAATATATAGAGTGATGATGTACGCTAACCCTTTACTACTTGTACACTGGTACGGGCCACGTACTTCACTTCCAGAGGTCAATCTGTATATTACAGTACTCGGGGGTGATTTTTGAAAATATTTAAATGGATAATTTGCTGTCAATGCAACTGTTAAAATTCACAAGGTTACATTTTAACAGGAAGACGTACTATTACAGTCTTTTACAGAGCAATATTTCATCGTTAATAAACGGTTTAGAGAAAACTGAGTAAAATGCAAGATACAAAACCCCCAGATACGCTTGTAATCCGAAAGTGTACTGCATATTTGATGTTTGTACTGTATGAATAGGCCATAATATCTTAAATTTATCAGTAAACTATCGTAATTGTATAATACACACGGAGCTAAAGATCCAGACGGAGCCCCCCCCCCCCTGGAGTTAATTTAGTCCCTTTGAGCCTGAAAAGGATTTCAAAGTGTACAATTTATGTAAATGTTCACAAATTATATAAGCAGTGCATCACAATAATACTGAATGATCCCTGGACAGTCCCTATATAACATATCTGTTACATATTCTTCTTTTTATATAGTTAATGCAAAACAAAACTCGGGAATGTAAAGTAAATGAACTCGGGAATGCATGACAGTTATTACATAGAAAATAGATTTTTTTTAAATTTAATAAATTTCAATAAAAAAATGTTCCAGGGCTAAGAGGTTATATAGCTAAAATGTGTGAGGTACACCAGCAGTAATGAAAAAGAACAACAATAAAGCGGTTTTACTTTTTTTCTACTTAATTTCACTTTGTGACAAAATAATTGAGTCTTTGCCACAAACTCGGATTTTCCCATCCCTATATCTTGTTAACCTGATGGCAAAAACCTTTGATATTTCACACTTAGGTTTGTTGGTCTAGAAGAATTCATAGTTTGAAATATCTAAGGTCTACACCATTGGGTTGAAAAGATATAGAGATTAGAAAATCAGTGTTTGTGGAAAAGACTCAATTCCTTTCACAAAGGCTATGATTTATTTTTAAGGCTTACTTTTGATGCATCATCAAATTACAATCACTAAGTTGTTAAAATTAGGGTTGTAGAATAAAATTAAACTAGCAATCTGACATAAACTTAATTCCTACAATGCGTTAACTGTTTCTGTACATATATATAGTTTGTTTTGGTGTTTGTTTGTTTGTTTGTATCACATGACCCCTGGGAATTGGTTTATGGATGGTCAGAATAAAACAAATTTTACTTTAAAAATCTAGATTTTTCAAAATCAATGAAAAAGTCTGCGAATTTATCTTTGTTATAATTGAGAAGAGAAAATGGCGCAGATAGAGTAATAATAAAATTTAAAATGGAAGATGGGTGTGAAGTGCCCTCGAAGCCTAATAATAATGGTAACATTTTATGTTTTGTTTTTTAAATTGTGTATAGTGTATTATGTGTCCAGAAGAGTTTTAGTTTTATTAAACCTTGAAATTTAAGATATGGGTTTGAAAATGGGAATAATAATTCTTAACAGGGAAAAACTAAGGATAGAAAATTCAATCCTAATTTAACCTTACCCTCTTTCATTTTTCACAACCACTCCATTTAAATTCAAATGCTGTAGCAGAGTAGCAAAGTTTTCAAAAATATAGGGATCAAAGAATTGTTTAAAAGGACGTTCTTAAAAGGAGGCATTTATTCTGTTTAACCCTATCCCCGCTGGGGTACTTGAAAACCAGGATATGCTGGGGGGAGGGATCAATTTGCCCCCCCCCCCTCTAAATCCCATGTTTTATGTCCAAATATGACAAATGATACATAATTAGAAAGCTCTTGTGCTCTACTTTTAGTTAAGAAAAGTCAGAAAATTTCAACAGCCTCAGACCAATCCTTTTTGAGTTAAGTAAAAAAAACTACCAGGGGGGTCAACTTGACCCCCCCCCCAGCAGGAATAGGGTTAATTCTACTGTTGTTTCTGCAGGTATGCCAGTAACTTTTTAGAGAACCAACAATTTAAAATAATACAATTTCAAAGATACAAACAACACGGATATCTAATTCATTGGTCATGAGTCAATTTGAATCGGATATGCCACTCTATAAATCATACAAGTATCTTAAGATTACGACACAGTCTCTTTAAGAGATTATTAATATATACTTATTTATATACTTGTATTTGTAGAGATTGTATACAGTGCTGTTGATGAAATCATTTCTAACAACTCTTTATTCTACACTCAGAATATATTTGATCGGAGACCTTCCTGATGTAAGTTATAGAAGTTTCATTCAACACTCAGAATATACTTGATCGGAGACCTTCCTGATCTAAGTAGAAGTTTTATTCAACACTCAGTTTATATCTGATCAGAGACCTTCCTGTTGTAAGTAGAAGTTTTATTCAACATTCAGAATATATTTGATCGGAGACCTTCCTGATGTAAGTAGAAGTTTTATTAACACTCAGTTTTTATTTGATCGGAGATTTTCCTGATGTAAGTTATAGAAGTTTTATTCAACACTCAGAATATACTTGAGTTTGGTTCAAACACCCTTTTGCTTTTCTGGCTGCTTCCTTACACTGGAGGAATGGCTTATGGAATTTATAGATTATTACTCCAATATCTCTTTTTTTTCTCTTTTAGAAAGGACCTGGCTGTTTATCAGTGTCAAATCTCATCCCCCATAGATCTGCCCAACTTGACAGATTATTGAGATCTCTTTAAAGGGTTTCTGAGTGGGTGGGATTCATGTGTTCTATGTGTCATACTTTTCTATCGTCAGCAAACTTCTTTATGATTGTGACACGCTCTACAGCTCTCAATATCATAAATGAATATCACAAATAAAAGAGGGCCCAAAACACTACCCTGAGGTACCCCAAATAACACCTCCTTTCATGTTGATGAAGATCCATTGAGTACTGCTCTATGTGCTTTGTGTTGTAACTAGTTGTCTAACCATTTCAAAAATTTTCCACCTACAGAATAAGCCTTCATTTTTTCAATTAATCTCAGGTGGGGTACAGTATCAAAAGCCTTGGAAAGGTCTACACTGTGTTTCAAGTTAGTATGCAAGAACATTCTTTTTAAATTCTGACTCAGAAATAATTTTTTTCAAAATCTTCATTGTACAAATAAGTTTGCATAATAACTTGAAACGCAGTGTAGATTAAATCCCCTTGTATCATATCCTTGTTCCTCTTCTCAGCTTCAACTTTTGTTCATCCTCAACTTTTCTCTGTAGTTTTGTGAGGTCCGGAACCACACTGATAAAGTTCTCTGGTTTGATTGGACAAATTCTCCTTTTATCTAGAATTTCATTTTGCTTTTCCATGTTCCTGAAACCATTCAGCAGTGGTGTGTTGCTTCCACTAGTTACTTAATACGTAATATATTCCTCTGGTTTGACACTACAATTGATCTCTGATAGTACCTAACGAACAAGTTCATGATCTGCTTGTTTTTTTTCTGGTATCAATTTAGGTTATTGCAGGCTCCTTTAGGTTATGAATGATTACATTTAACTTCTTGAGGTTATGTTTCATTTGTTCAGCTACCATAACCTTGGCTGCATCCTCATTACCTGAAGACTTTAGTTGCCTGATTTAGTTCCTTTACTTGTCTATTTTTTCCCCTCTGCTTTAAACAACAAATAATGATCTCTACCCAGTACCCATGATTTCAATTACACACATGGTACACCCCCAAGCTTGAGAATTTTTTTTTTTCAAATTTAAGTAAAAAGAAATTAAGTTTTAGTCACATACTCAAAATTTTAAAAACATTTATCTTTTCGACCTAATGGTTACTAAACCTTTATTATTTTAAACTTAGATTATTTGATCTAACCGAATTCAATGATTGAAATAACAAGGTCTATATGATTGGTTTGTTAAGACATATGGCTTAGAAAATCAGAGTTGTTTAAAAAAAATATAGAAGAATATGATCTGAGGCTAAATATAGAAGAATAACTGAGGCTAAAGCTAAAAGTCTAAGTGAAGAAGAAGGAAATATTTTCTATAATATTGATAATAATAATTTTATAATTTAGGCCAGCGGAGTAAATATCGCAAGCCAGGCTATGTGGCTGAATTTGCTCTTTGAGGTTAGATTTTTTCTTAGTTCTGCATCATAACAAAAGTGCCTCAGGGCGAAATAAACTTTTATGTTTTTAGATTTTACAGGAAGGGCTAATTCGACCTTTGTACAATAGTATAGGATCTACAGTTAATGATTTAGACGAAACTTTGAATAAACTCAAAACTGGATTTTTGCTTGTTGCAGGTCATTATTTCATTATAGCATTTATAGGACTATCTTTTATTTCAAAATGCTAAAAAAGGAATTTAGTTTTTTCCCGAAAGTCAAATTTTATAATCTCTATATCTCGATAATTTTAAACTTAGACAATTAAATCTTTATAATTTGAAATATCAAAAGAAAAAGAAAATCGGGTAGCTCTTCATCATACATGGCTCTTTAGCTCTTCCATAAAAGAAGTTTAAAGTAACAGTTTACTTCAACTTGGCAAAGCCCATGAGCTAGTTAAATTCAATGATTCAAACTGGAACTTTTACAAGATACAATCTCGTAAGTGCTGATCAATTGGTGTGATGACTGAAAAAAAGAAATGTACTTACACAGAATCTTAAATTGAAAGGAATTAAATCTGCAAAGAATTAGTAATTTTAACATTTGATTTTATGGAAAAGTCTCAATTTCTTTATTAAAAAACTAATTACAACAAACTAAATTATTTTTAATTTTCTTAGAATTAAAGAGCCCTAAATAAAATCCTTTTTAAATTCTGAATTATTTAGGCGTATTTTCAGTATTCAGCATACCACTGTGGATCTTTACTAGGTAAAGTTAATGACCAAACTTTGTATTTAGAACGCTTTGTGTCCACTTTCCTATCAACTATTTTAACTTTTGCCCGGGGTTTCCATTTGGAATTTCGTTGGTAGAAAGCAGTCAAATTTACTTGGATTTTCCATTTAAATTTAAATTTTAAAAATGATAATTGTCGACAATTTCTGTTACCCCTTTACTAAGGATCTGAATACTCGCCAGTAATTTTGATATTTGAAAATACAAACATAAATTGATCCTGTAGATTTTATAGCTTGACAGTTGAAAAGTTGAAAAGAAAATTGTCTAAAATATTCTTTAAAATATATTTTAAGATCTTTGTGAAATAAAGTCATTGCCACAAACTCTGATTTTATAACTTCATTGTTATTTATAACTAATTATTTCAAACTTTGCAATCTGATGCAGAAGCTCATAAATATTTTAAACTATAAATTTTGAACTAGATTATATAACCTTAGTTTGAAATATCTTAGGTTTGCACCAACAGGTTGCAACGATATAGGGATTAGTAAATTTGAATTTATAGCATAGACTTTATCACTTTGAATATTATTTGGCCTTGATCCTGCAACCATAGTTGCTCCTAAAAGTTATACCAGTTGTCTAAAGCTTTCTTTAGATAAGATATTAAGATTTTGCATGAGGAATTGAGTTTTGCCACAAACTTTGATTTTATAATTACTAAAGCTTTGCAACCCAATGTCGTAGAACTTAGATATTTCAAGCTTTGAATTTTGTTAAATCAAATCATCTTAGTTTGAAATATCAAAGGTTTGCACCAACAGGTTGCAAAGATATAGGGATTTATAAAGTTTGAGTTTGTGACAATTAGTTTCAACTCCTTCAGACAAATAATTGAGTTGATGTCTGCTAATGCCGTGTCTGTAGACTTTATCAGGTAATTAATTATAGGATTTAGGATTCAATTTTATGAAAAGAAAGACAAGAACTCAATAAATATTTTTTAATAATCTACAGCCAGAAAAAGTTAAGTTAACCATGATCATGTATGCTACACAGTTTGTGTGGTATAAAATATTTAAATTTAAAAAAGGATTCATGATTCATGTTTGTAGCAATTGCAAATAGCGTGTAAACATGATATTTTGTAAACTCGCAGTACGTTGCATGTCATAATAACTATTTATAACACCGTTATTTAGGTTCACAGCGTTATAAATTTTCTCTGTATCGAGAAGGTTCAAGCCTTTTTAGATTTGATTTTGTCCCGAGCTTTTTCAAGGGACAAAATGACATTCCTTTGTAAAAAAAATAACAAATTATTCTTATTATTTATTATTATTTTTAAAAGGGGCTTGATGAAAGAAAACGTTTCCATTAAAAAAAACAGCTTTTTATAAAGGAATGGCTATTTCTACTTTCAACGTAGAACGCGTTTTTGAAAGTAATTGAACGCGTTAACGATTTTAACCGTTCTTTTCAAGCAATCTCGTTCCGTTCCGTTCTTTTACTAATCGTTCCAATATTTTTAAGAACACGTTCTAAGCGTTAGTTTTTTTCGAACTGATGGAATCGTTCTTGATCGTTCTGTTTGTTCTCCCAAAAGAACGATCGTTCCACCAGGAACGCGCCCAGCCCTAGGTAAAACAACCAGAAGCGTCAAAGTCTTGCTCAAAACAAGAAGTGGATCTTATACCGGAATTCGGAGTAAAAGAAACGGAAGACGGAAACTGGAAGAAACCATGCTACCAGAGAAGAAAGAATCCAAAGAAAAGAATAAACAGAATTATGAAGAGTCTAGAATCATTGACGAGAGTTTAATGATGTATCTGGGAGAAAAAAAAGGAGAAAATGAGAACTCTGGAAAATTAGGGATATCAGAAAAACAGGATTCAAGTCAGGGACTAATACTGCTGGAAGAGAATTACAGGGTTATCAGGCAACAAACAAACAGAGCAACTGGATGGAAAATATAGAGCAATAATATAGGAATTCAAACAAGCTATAGAAAGAATAATTGAAGAGGAGAAACTCGAAGCAATACGGAAAGTCAGAGAAGAAAGAAATATTGCAAGAGCAGATTATTCAGATCCTGAAGAAAATACAGAAGGAATAGCTAAGGAATTGAATCATTAAATACCCAAGGTAAAAGAAAATAGCTGGACTCAAAATCAGGAGAAACGGCAAGATCCAGAACAAGAAGGTTATGTAGAGACGGAAACGTTAACGTCTGATACCTAGAGTGGAAATAAAATCGAAAAATACAGAAATACCAGTAACTAGGGTGGGAAAAAAATCTGAATAAAATAATCAAGAACAGAAGAAGAAAAGGAAACAAAATAGATGGGGAAAATTTGCTGAATCAAGGAGCACAGTGAAGGAAAGTAAAACCGTCAAGAAAATTAAGACTGGAAACAAGGGGAAAATAAGAAAACTCAAACTGAAGATATGAAAAGGATCCTAGAAGCTATTCTGTAAACCCAACCCGTTAAAATCCACAGCTGTATCTTTAATAAATAAGGAGTCAGACGGGTTCAGCAAGGAAAGTGAGGAAGTTAATCAACCAGAAAATCCAGAGAAACAGTACGCAGAAGAGAAAGGATTAAAAGCAAGCCATGTTTACATGTCATTGTCCAAAGAAATATGACCAAGTCCATGACCAAGTCTATGACCAAGTCCATGACCAAGTCCATAACAAAGTCCATGACCAAGTCTATGACCAAGTCCATGACCAAGTCAAGGTCCAAAGTCCATGACCAAGTTCATGTCCAAGTCCATGTTCAAGTCCATGACCAAGTCCATGTTCAAGTCCATGACCAAGTCCATGACCAAGTCCATGTCCAAGTCCATGACCAAGTCCATGTCCAAGTCCATGTCCAAGTCCATGACCAAGTCCATGTCCAAGTCCATGACCAAGTCCATGATTAAGTCCATGACCAAGTCCATGACCAAGTCCATGTCCAAGTTCATGACCAAGTTCATGACCAAGTCCATGACCAAGCTCAAGACCAAGTCCATTGCCAAGTGCATGACCAAGTCCGATGACCAATAACCCTTATATTTGCAGGTTAGAATTGATCTCCAATATTCTGATCAGCTTAAATATGTTCTTGGAGATTATTCTACAATTGAAGTTCTCCAACAAGGAAAATAGAAATTATTCAAATTATAAAATATCAAAATATTTAGTTTAAACTTTTTTACTAAATTTTCATATCAAATATCAAATTTAAAATTTTTCTCCTGAATAATTTTAATTTGACTAAGATCCTGCTGCTAGGGTTGTTTACAAGGAAGCTAATTAATTACAACAAAACTTTTCTTTCAAAGAATATTCTGTTTCCCTTTTATTTTCTCTCCCTCCCCCGTCCCTCTGCCCGCGATACCTTCCTTTATGTTTTTCAAGTTCAAATATTTCTTTTTCCCTAACTCATTTTTTTGTCTTTGTTCTCTATTTTTTGGTATCTGCGGTATACTTTGCCCACCCTTATCCGCCCCTGCAACCCCCTTTTCTTTTACTGACCCTTTAGTGTTCTCTTTTATTATACATATTTTCTCCCCCAGCTCATTTTTGTCCCGTATTTTCTCCTTTCTCCTGCTGGACTTAGTTTGAATTTAATGAGAAAATCTGTCCTCTACAATCCACCTTTTTTCTTTTAATTCCTCCCAGGGGGGTTTTAGTCCTAATAGCCCCCCCCCTGTTAACTCCTTTGGCCCTATTCAAAATGCATTATGCATCTATGAGATATATAAAGAAGAGATTTAAATATTTTATAACTTCGACTTAGAGTTTGATTTAGCAGTAAAATTAATAGTTTTATTTAGATTGATTTTCACAATAATCTTCGATATATTCTTCCTCAGGTGATAGACAAAACTGTTTAAAGGACTTGAGTCTTTGTCACAAACTCAAAATTTCTAATCCCTATATCTTAGCATTCTGATGGTTTAACCTTTGATATTTCAAAATAAGATTAGATGATCTAACATAATTCAAAGTTTGAAATATCAAAACTTTTATTTATCTATTCTTAACACATGAATATATTTTCTAAAACCAGCCACCTTTATTATGCCTTATTCCCTTCTGAGTAACAAATAAGAATTTGGAAATAGTTTTTTTATCTAAGTTTGAAATGTAAGAGGTTTACACCATCAGGTTTCAAGGATCAAACAAATTAAAGTTTGAAGCAAAGACTCAGTTCCTATAATGTCCGTTTATTATGAAATGATTTTTGCGTTGGAACTGTTGGAGCTAATTCTTTTTATTATTTTATTATTCACGTTACAATCAGAGTTGTAAATTTGAATGAAATTGTAAATTTTGAAAAGATCAAGTTTTCTCATCTCGTTGTTCTGGATGAATCAGCAAAACTTTTAATTTCATATTTGTAAAATTCCTCCTAAGGGTATTATTATCTTAAATTTGAAACATTATCTAGAAAACATTTTCTTAATGCAATGTAGTTAAATATGATATGTAGTTTCATCCAGAAAATGCGCAAAATGCATCAACATTCTGGATTTTAAACAAATTGTAATTTGAAATTTCAATTGGCCCTCCAATTCTGCAGCACTTTTATAACACAACCCACATTAAAAAGAACTAATTATGAAAGAGAAAAACATGTGTATCTTATTCATTCAGGTTGAACTAATTATTTTCAATGTACCGTTATTAAATAAATCAATATTTATTATAGCCAGTTTTCGGTATCTCTGAAGTTAGGGGTGAATGGTGTAGCCTACTCCAATATAGGTGAATATACTACTAAACACATCCAGGAAGTTACAACAAAAATGTGTGAAATGAAAATGATATCTATAAACACAAAACACTTTTCTCAAAATCAAAGTTTCTCATCACTATATCTTTGCAACTTAATAGTGTGAATTAAAAGTATACGACCCCAGTATGCACAGATATAGGAATTAAATGTAAACACGTAAACATTTGATATTTCACATTTAGACTATTTAATCTAACATAATTCGTGTTAATCAGAATATGTACTTAACATACTTTTAATAATTAAAAAGATTGAGGGGTTTAATTTGTTTTCATAAAAGAAAGCTTACATAGAATTATTAGTCTACCATTTTGTATAATTCTAGAAATAATATCTTTAAAATTATACGCTAATTGAAAAATAAAAATTTTATGATTTTTATTTCAAGTATATTCAATTAAAGAATGCCCTGTTTGGAATATAATTGAGATTAAGGCAGGAAAATTTACAACTTTATTGGTTTAGATTATTAGATTTAAAAAAATTGCATGTCGTTGTTTGAATACTTCAATTTGAATATGATATACAATAAAAATGGATTAACAAATATCTACGAAAATAAATGTATGGAGGTTTAAATACTATAATTTCAAGGATTACACAAAATGCAAAACAGTCTGATCCCAAACAGTAGGATCCCAAACAGACTTTCATTGTAATTTAGGGCGCATGCCTCATTCACAACAGTACCCGTTAAACCTTACTGAAATTAATAATGTGAAAGATATTAAATCTTTTTTCTAGTTTAAAATTTTTTTTTGATCTGATGATTAATTCAGGTTTAAAAATCTACAATTTAGTCACTGTAAAGGGAGTGTTCGCGAAAAATGAAAGGGGATATGGGCTTACTGCGAAAAATTTTCGATGGTGATTGCTACTAATCTAACTCATATCTTTTGCGTCTATTAGGACAAAATTGTTAAGAACGACTCATACAAAAAAATTCAGAAAGTTGCGAAATTCAACTCGGATCGTAAAAAAATCAATTTAATTCCAAGCAAATCATTATGAAATATCAACTATATACGAATGCGTCGAAAAAAATTAATGATTATAGGTTGTAATATCTGAATAATTTGTTTGGAATTTAATTGATTTTTTAACGATCCGAGTCGAACATTGCAACTTTTGAATTTGTATTGACGCTACGTTGTTCGGCCTGAGTTTTTTTTTTTTAACAATTTTCTCCTTATAGACGCAACAGATAGAACTAAGATTAGTAGCAATTACAGCCTAATATTTTTCGACGTAAGTCCAAACCCCCATCATTTTTCGCGAACACTCCCTTTTAGTAGTGTTAGAGTCGGCACACTCTAACAGTACTAATAGCAGAGTGAATCAAGTTCTAATGGTTGGAAAGTACCATAGCTCTAATGAGTAATGGTGTTGGTTCTAGTGTCGGAACTTTCAATTACCTTAGAACCATGTCAGTATACCTACCTGTATACTGTGATAGATAGATAGTGCACTGTGTTAGTGTATCTGCCTGCAGACTGTGTTAGTGTATCTGCCTACATACTGTGATAGATAGATAGTGCACTAAACTCTCACACAAGTGGATAGATAGATAGAACTCTCATCCATACAGTGAACAATAGTTAAAGGGACCTTCAGTGTTTTCATATTTGTTAAATATGCAGACATATTAGATTCTGAGAATGGCTAGCTCCATTTCCCACTTCTTAGCCATCTTCAATGTATCCGAAAATGTTATTTCAGGCATACTACCTTTTGAGTTGGAACCCCTC